GGTGCGACCAATATCCGGGGCTCTGATTGGTGGCTCAGTGTGCGGGGAAAGACTTCTACAAGTCTACAGGGTGCGAGCGACTGGGAGAGATTCTTAGACAAGAAATGACAGAGCGCTAATCGAATTTCGAAGATGGCTTCTTCACTTTGGAACGAATGCTTTCCTGGGACTTCGAAGATTCTGACGAAACCTCAACTCACAAAGATACACCCCACCCCGCCCCAAAACCAACGCATCCAAATCCCACGAGAAATTCCTGTAATGCACGCGAATCATTTTGTTTCAGGAGTAAATGGGGAAAACAGATTTCTTTTCACAGATGGAAAGTGCTTTTGAAATACTTAAGTGAACCCTTTGTGATATATTTTTCCTGAAGGTCAAGACTGTTACAAAATGATCGACTGATAAAACAATGCAATCAATTAAATAGATATACATATATTTATTGATTTGAAAGGCAGAATGTCAGAGAGAGGTAACGTAGAGAGAGATCTTCTTTCTGCTGGTTCACTCCCCAAATGACCACAGCAACCATGGCAGGGCCAGGAGTCAGGAACTCCTGCTCATAGCTTTCTGCTATGGCCTGGGAAAGCAGTAGAAGATGCCTCAAGTCCTTAGGCCCCTGCACCCACGTGGGAGACCAAGAAGAGGCACCTGCCTCCTAGCCTCAGATCGCCATGGCTCCAGCCATGTGGGGAGTGAACCAGTGCAGGAAAGACCTCTCTCTCTCTCTCTCTCTCTCTCTCTCTCTCTTTCTTTCTCTCTCTGTGTGTGGGTGTGTGTGTGCACCTCTCCCTCTGTGTAACTTTGCTTTTCAAATCAATAAATCTTGCAAAAAGTAAAAAAGGAACTTTAAGAGGCACTTCCACTTCATGGCAAGGCTGTGCTCCTCTAATGGTTGGAGCCCATACAGGAGGATATTATATGTAAGGTAAAGCAGCTCGTTATGGCAAACGAGTAGCCTTGAGCAACGTTAGGATCTCTTCTAAACCCTCTTCCACGGTGACAGGGCTCCAACAAACACGGCGGACATGCCTACAACCCGCCGTGCCTTCTGTAGGAAGTGTGGCACGTGCCAGCCCCACAAGAAGGATGAGGATTCTGTGTGCCCAGGGAAAGCACTGTTGTGACAGGAAACAGAGTAGTTGTGCTGGGTCTATCAAGCAGATTTTCCAGGGAAAAGGTTAAAATCACAGAGATCGTGCTGAGGGTCGAGTGTGGTGGGTCCAGCTGTAGATTTAAGAGTGTCAGAAAACAGGAGAGGATGGCTCAAATCCTTGGGTCCCTGCACCCACGTGGGAGACCCGGAAGTAGCTCCTGGCTTTGGATTGGCACAGCTCTGGCCGTTGTGGCCATTTAGGGAGTGAACCAGCAGAGGGAAGACCTCTCTCTCTCTCTGTCTCTCTCTCTCTCCCTTTCTCTCTCTCTGCCTCTCAGAACTCTGCCTTTCAAATGCATTATTTATTTCTTTAAAGAGACAGAGAGACAGAGAGAGATGCAGGTGGTTTGAACTGGGGGTGATAAGGAGAGAAAGGGCTGAGTGATCCAGCCCTGTGCTTCACCTTCTGCTGTATCATGAAGGCAGTCACATCTCTTTTTGAAAGACTGATTTATCTGTTTATTGGAAAGAGTTACAGAGAGGGAGACATACCCACACGCACACACACACACAAACCGACAGAGAGGGGGACAGAGACAGAGTGAGAGAGACAGAGACCGAGAGTGAGAGAGAGGCAGAGAGAGAGAGAGATTCACTCACCCAAATGGCCACAGCTGCCAAGGCTAGGCCAGATTGAACCCAGGATCCTGGAACTCCATGCAGGTCTCCCACATAGGTGCAGGGGCCCAAGCACTTGAGCCATCTTCTGTTGCATTCCCAGATGCTTTAGCAGGGCACTGGATTGGAAGTGGAGCAGCTGGGACTTGAACCTGCACTCATATGAGATGCAGGTTTCTCAGGCAGTGGTGTAACCCTCTGTGCCGCAATGGCAAGCCTGACAATAAAATCTTACACTCTGTGTTCACTAAATAAATACATCTTAAAGAGTGAATCTGGAGTCAATCACAAAGGTCATTCTGTTAAATCAGTGATTAGCCTGATTTGGGAAAGGAAGAATGGTAAAAATACATAAACCAATGCAAGGAAGACCTTTCTCTCTCTCTCTCTCTCTCTCTCTCTCTCTCCGTCTATAACTCTACCTGTGAAATAAAACTATAAAAATAAAACATAAATCCATGAACAAATAAAAATCTGGCTCTACCTTTCACTCCGATGAGCTTCAGCACTCGCAAGGCAGCCCATTGGTGGCACCAGATGATAGAAATGCATTAGTGAAATTTCTCCAAGAAACTACTCCTCACGCTATAGACAAAGCGAGCAGGTATATAAAGGGACCCAATTAATTTGAAGTCTTGAGAAATGAAAAACATAGTATGTTACACAAATGCTGCCTAATAAAGGAATTAAGTCGAATTTTGAAAACGGGCCACGATAGCGTCAGTTAATTGGAGGAAAATAGGATGATAAAGGGTATAAAATATCATATGGGTACTGAGAGATGGCGGGGCTTTGATTGAATAGCATCACTTGTTCTCTCAGCAGTTCTGGAGATTGGAGAGGGGTGCAATGTACAAGAGAAACTGACTCTTTTGAAATTGAAATTCGAAAGGCTTAGTTCTCGAGAGGTGAAAGGTCACCGGTTGCAGCAGACAGCTTTTCTAACACTGAATACAGCCGACTAAACTGTAGAACATCAAAGTCAAGAAAGCCAACAGCCTCATCTCATACAAGGAAAAGACAGCAGCAGCGGCAGATTTCGAGCATGCACTACTAGCATGGCAGGGAAAGGAGTACAGGACTATCTTTAAAGGAGTGAGAGAGTGCAGGCAGCATTTTAGAACTTCAAACCCACCTAAAACCTAACACATACTAGCTTGAAGGTGTCATTGAAATATGTGCAGATACACAAAACTAAGATTTGCCACACAGGCCATAGCTGAAAGGATTCTTAGAAAGCGCACCTCGGTAGGACAACAGATACAGAGGAAATGAAGCCACAAAATGCAAGTACAGAAAATGGGCAAAGAAACTGATAATACAATGAATGGTCAGAAAAAATAACATCTTGCTTACCAGTAATAATTTATTTTTCATGAAACAGAATACAAACTTGGCCAAAGAAGGGACATGACAAATTAGCAATGCTGTGTAAAACATTAGCCCAACCCGCAAACACACATGAAAACCCCCAAACAATCAAGACTAGAAGTAGAATCCTTCCTCGAAAACGGAATCGCGGAAATGTGAAGATACTCAGTGGCTAGAAGTGTAAACCGTCCAAATTGCCACAGGAATCGATTCAAAACCAAACCACAGTCACATTGGTGCAACGAGAAACCCATTTCTTAATAGTGACAATCTGAAGGTGATGCTACAGTCATGTCATCCCTGAAGCTCATTTCCCTCGAAATCCCTGAAGCTCCACACTGGTTTGGTTTCCTCTTGGGCCAGGGTTCCACACACAGAAATGGCCCCAAGGCTCCACACACCTATTTGATATACATTCACAATTAAATGCCAGCCTTGAAATAATCTGACAAGTCAGTGTAGTCACATAGCTGGGAAAAACAAAATGAGCACAGAACCAACCTTTTTGCTTGGGCATAAACTAATTTCTTCGGTAGGACAAGGGTTGTTGACAATCACGTCCAGGAAAGATCACACTCCATGGTGAAATTCCAAAGCATTAACATGAGGCATAAGACAGGAATATTGCTATCAATTATACAGTTCAACCTGGATTTCAAAGAAAACCCAGTATAAAAAACTAAGAAAGAGAAGAATCTACCAATGAAATACTACAGAAATCCAATAATTCTCTCCCCCATGTCAGATCAATAGAAGAAACAAATTATTTCTATACAGTAGCAACAATGTACAACATATACTCAGGATCCTAGAACAACACAAAAGAGACTTAGAATTGGGAACTTTGAACATGCATGGGGCATTATCTTACAAATAGACAGGAAGCAATGAATGGGAAAGAGTTGGTCTTTGGGGGGAGGGGGTGCACAACCCTAACTCCCAAACCTAACTACTTGCTAACCAAGTCATGAACCAAATGGGGGGTACGTGGTCACGGTGCCCAGTGCTTTGTTTGGTCCACGTCCAACTGTTTTCCAGACCCCCCGAAAGGGACTAGGGCCAGCCTCAGGAAGAGTCCGCGGTCAGACGTTTGCCAAGAGCTTGCAGAGTCTAGGGCCCGAAGCAAACCGATTCCGTCCTCATTGCAATGTGGGAGACGAGACGAGGGGTCCAGTGGTAGGGTGCTGGGGGCGGGCTGGCGTTTTCCACAAGTGCTGAGCTGAGGTTCGAAGCAAAGGTCAGGGCCATGACAGTGCCTGGGTGCCTTGTGCGCAGAGCAGGGCCCAAGCAGAACCTGAGGTCTCCGGGCGGCTGCGCTGCAGGCAGCATTGTCCTCGGGTGTGGGAGGAGATGGTCCTTCTCCCAGACCTGCTGAGCCAACAAACAGCCCTGCAGAATGGTGCAAGGCCCTCTACAGCCAAAGGGCCTCCCTCTCTGCGCCGTCTACCCTTGCGGACACACAGCCAGCAGGGCCCCCAGAACGGCTCTCAGAAGCCCCTCACCTGGGCGTCAGCTGCGTGGCGACGGGGTGCAGAGGCAGCTCCTTCATTCCTGGAACAGGCGTCTCCGGGCCTTGCAGGCGGGCCGAGGAGGGCGCTGCGGGCGCCCCGGGGGCTCTGGGGGCCCTGGACTGGGAGACGCAGGGAGAGGCTGGAGCGGAGAGCCGGGGAGCGGCCGCCACAGCTCCCAGTCCAGGTGGAAGGCCGAGCCGGGGCTGGAGCCCCTTGCAGCGCCCAGGCAGAGCCCCGCGGCCCAGCCCCAGGAGCTCGGGGTCGGCGTCGTCTTCGTCTTCAAAGGCCTCTGCCTGGCCGGCCATCTCCGTGGGGGCTGAGCACACCAATCCCTGCTGCTGCTGCTGCTGCTGCTGCTGTACCACGACGGCCTCGGCCGCGGCGTCCAGGACAGCGGCCAGCGCCAGGCCGCCCGGCGAGGGGCCCTGGCCGGCGGCCTCCAGGAGGCCCTCGGGGACCAGCAGCAGCGTGTGGCCGGGCAGAGACACGCTGAGGACCGCCGTGGGCGCGGGCTCCAGCAGCAGGTCGACGTCGTCCAGCGGCAGCTGCAGGGCGCAGCCGGCGGCCAGGACCACGACCACGACGGAGGGGAGCGCCGAGGCGGGCGGGGCCGCGGGCGGGGCCGGGAGGCCGGGCTGGGGCCCGGGCTCGGCGGCCGCGGGCTCCTGCACTCGGCGGCGCTTGGCAGGGCCGGCTGCTCCGGGCTGCGGGGGCCCCGCGGGCTCAGGGCAGGCGCTGGGGCTGCGGGGCCGGACGCCCCTCATGTCGACGGCGCTGCGGGCTGCGCTCCGGGGGCCTGGCAGAGGGCGCGAGGGGCGACGGGCGCGGGCTTCGCGGGCTTCGCGGGCTTCGCGGGCTTCGCGGGCCTGCGGGCGCTGTCAGGCCCCGGGGTCAGGAGAGGCGGCCTGCGGCGGACGGACGGGTGAGGCGGTCTGCGGAGGACGGGTGAGGTGGCCGCGGACGGACGGGTGGGCTGCAGTCTGGCTTTGGAGGAGCAACGCCCACCTCGGGGTCGGGCCTCGCACCTTGGAACCTTCGGCCTTCCTGCTACCGATCCGGATGTGCAGCAGCGCTCCACCAACCGTGTTGGAAGTCGCAAAATGTCACGCCAAACTCCGCCCCCTGGAGCCTCCGCCCCGCAGCGGAATCATGGGTGCGACCAATATCCGGGGCTCTGATTGGTGGCTCAGTGTGCGGGGAAAGACTTCTACAAGTCTACAGGGTGCGAGCGACTGGGAGAGATTCTTAGACAAGAAATGACAGAGCGCTAATCGAATTTCGAAGATGGCTTCTTCACTTTGGAACGAATGCTTTCCTGGGACTTCGAAGATTCTGACGAAACCTCAACTCACAAAGATACACCCCACCCCGCCCCAAAACCAACGCATCCAAATCCCACGAGAAATTCCTGTAATGCACGCGAATCATTTTGTTTCAGGAGTAAATGGGGAAAACAGATTTCTTTTCACAGATGGAAAGTGCTTTTGAAATACTTAAGTGAACCCTTTGTGATATATTTTTCCTGAAGGTCAAGACTGTTACAAAATGATCGACTGATAAAACAATGCAATCAATTAAATAGATATACATATATTTATTGATTTGAAAGGCAGAATGTCAGAGAGAGGTAAGGTAGAGAGAGATCTTCTTTCTGCTGGTTCACTCCCCAAATGACCACAGCAACCAGGGCCAGGGCCAGGAGTCAGGAACTCCTGCTCATAGCTTTCTGCTATGGCCTGGGAAAGCAGTAGAAGATGCCTCAAGTCCTTAGGCCCCTGCACCCACGTGGGAGACCAAGAAGAGGCACCTGCCTCCTAGCCTCAGATCGCCATGGCTCCAGCCATCGTGGCCATGTGGGGAGTGAACCAGTGCAGGAAAGACCTCTCTCTCTCTCTCTCTCTCTCTCTCTCTCTTTCTTTCTCTCTCTGTGTGTGGGTGTGTGTGTGCACCTCTCCCTCTGTGTAACTTTGCTTTTCAAATCAATAAATCTTGCAAAAAGTAAAAAAGGAACTTTAAGAGGCACTTCCACTTCATGGCAAGGCTGTGCTCCTCTAATGGTTGGAGCCCATACAGGAGGATATTATATGTAAGGTAAAGCAGCTCGTTATGGCAAACGAGTAGCCTTGAGCAATGTTAGGATCTCTTCTAAACCCTCTTCCACGGTGACAGTGCTCCAACAAACACGGCGGACATGCCTACAACCCGCCGTGCCTTCTGTAGGAAGTGTGGCACGTGCCAGCCCCACAAGAAGGATGAGGATTCTGTGTGCCCAGGGAAAGCACTGTTGTGACAGGAAACAGAGTAGTTGTGCTGGGTCTATCAAGCAGATTTTCCAGGGAAAAGGTTAAAATCACAGAGATCGTGCTGAGGGTCGAGTGTGGTGGGTCCAGCTGTAGATTTAAGAGTGTCAGAAAACAGGAGAGGATGGCTCAAATCCTTGGGTCCCTGCACCCACGTGGGAGACCCGGAAGTAGCTCCTGGCTTTGGATTGGCACAGCTCTGGCCGTTGTGGCCATTTAGGGAGTGAACCAGCAGAGGGAAGACCTCTGTCTCTCTCTCTCTCTCTGTCTCTCTCTCTCTCCCATTCTCTCTCTCTGCCTCTCAGAACAAATGCATTATTTATTTCTTTAAAGAGACAGAGAGACAGAGAGAGATGCAGGTGGTTTGAAGTGGTTTGAACTGGGGGTGATAAGGAGAGAAAGGGCTGAGTGATCCAGCCCTGTGCTTCATGAAGGCAGTCACATCTCTTTTTGAAAGACTGATTTATCTGTTTATTGGAAAGAGTTACAGAGAGGGAGACATACCCACACGCACACACACACACAAACCGACAGAGAGGGGGACAGAGACAGAGTGAGAGAGACAGAGACCGAGAGTGAGAGAGAGGCAGAGAGAGAGAGATTCACTCACCCAAATGGCCACAGCTGCCAAGGCTAGGCCAGATTGAACCCAGGATCCTGGAACTCCATGCAGGTCTCCCACATAGGTGCAGGGGCCCAAGCACTTGAGCCATCTTCTGTTGCATTCCCAGATGCTTTAGCAGGGCACTGGATTGGAAGTGGAGCAGCTGGGACTTGAACCTGCACTCATATGAGATGCAGGTTTCTCAGGCAGTGGTGTAACCCTCTGTGCCACAATGGCAAGCCTGACAATAAAATCTTACACTCTGTGTTCACTAAATAAATACATCTTAAAGAGGGAATCTGGAGTCAATCACAAAGGTCATTCTGTTAAATCAGTGATTAGCCCCTGATTTGGGAAAGGAAGAATGGTAAAAGTAAATAAACCAATGCAAGGAAGACCTTTCTCTCTCTCTCTCTCTCTCTCTCTCTCTCTCTCTCTCTCTCCGTCTATAACTCTACCTGTGAAATAAAACTATAAAAATAAAACATAAATCCATGAACAAGCTTCAGCACTCGCAAGGCAGCCCATTGGTGGCCCCAGATGATAGAAATGCATTAGTGAAATTTTTCCAAGAAATGCATTAGTGAAATTTTTCCAAGAAACTACTCCTCACGCTATAGACAAAGCGAGCAGGTATATAAAGGGACCCAATTAATTTGAAGTCTTGAGAAATGAAAAACATAGTATGTTACACAAATGCTGCCTAATAAAGGAATTAAGTCGAATTTTGAAAACGGGCCACGATAGCATCAGTTAATTGGAGGAAAATAGGATGATAAAGGGTAGAAAATATCATATGGATACTGAGAGACATGGCGGGGCTTTGATTGAATAGCATCACTTGTTCTCTCAGCAGTTCTGGAGATCGGAGAGGGGTGCAATGTGCAAGAGAAACTGACTCTTTTGAAATTGAAATTCGAAAGGCTTAGTTCTCGAGAGGTGAAAGGTCACCGGTTGCAGCAGACAGCTTTTCTAACACTGAATACATCCGACTAAACTGTAGAACATCAAAGTCAAGAAAGCCAACAGCCTCATCTCATACAAGGAAAAGACAGCAGCAGTGGCAGATTTCGAGCATGCACTACTAGCATGGCAGGGAAAGGAGTACAGGGCTATCTTTAAAGGAGTGAGAGAGTGCAGGCAGCATTTTAGAACTTCAAACCCACCTAAAACCTAACACATACTAGCTTGAAGGTGCAATTGAAATATGTGCAGATACACAAAACTAAGATTTGCCACACAGGCCATAGCTGAAAGGATTCTTAGAAAGCACACCTCGGTAGGACAACAGATACAGAGGAAATGAAGCCACAAAATGCAAGTACAGAAAATGGGCAAAGAAACTGATAATACAATGAATGGTCAGAAAAAATAACATCTTGCTTACCAGTAATAATTTATTTTTCATGAAACAGAATACAAACTTGGCCAAAGAAGGGACATGACAAATTAGCAATGCTGTGTAAAACATTAGCCCAACCCGCAAACACACATGAAAACCCCCAAACAATCAAGACTAGAAGTAGAATCCTTCCTCGAAAACGGAATCGCGGAAATGTGAAGATACTCAGTGGCTAGAAGTGTAAACCGTCCAAATTGCCACAGGAATCGATTCAAAACCAAACCACAGTCACATTGGTGCAACGAGAAACCCATTTCTTAATAGTGACAATCTGAAGGTGATGCTACAGTCATGTCATCCCTGAAGCTCATTTCCCTCTAATTCCCTGAAGCTCCACACTGGTTTGGTTTCCTCTTGGGCCAGGGTTCCACACACAGAAATGGCCCCAAGGCTCCACACACCTATTTGATATGCATTCACAATTAAATGCCAACCTTGAAATAATCTGACAAGTCAGTGTAGTCACATAGCTGGGAAAAACAAAATGAGCACAGAACCAACCTTTTTGCTCGGGCATAAACTAATTTCTTCGGTAGGACAAGGGTTGTTGACAATCACGTCCAGGAAAGATCACACTCCATGGTGAAATTCCAAAGCATTAACATGAGGCATAAGACAGGAATATTGCTATCAATTATACAGTTCAACCTGGATTTCAAAGAAAACCCAGTATAAAAAACTAAGAAAGAGAAGAATCTACCAATGAAATACTACAGAAATCCAATAATTCTCTCCCCCATGTCAGATCAATAGAAGAAACAAATTATTTCTATACAGTAGCAACAATGTACAACATATACTCAGGATCCTAGAACAACACAAAAGAGACTTAGAATTGGGAACTTTGAACATGCATGGGGCATTATCTTACAAATAGACAGGAAGCAATGAATGGGAAAGAGTTGGTCTTTGGGGGGAGGGGGTGCACAACCCTAACTCCCAAACCTAACTACTTGCTAACCAAGTCATGAACCAAATGGGGGGTACGTGGTCACGGTGCCCAGTGCTTTGTTTGGTCCACGTCCAACTGTTTTCCAGACCCCCCGAAAGGGACTAGGGCCAGCCTCAGGAAGAGTCCGCGGTCAGACGTTTGCCAAGAGCTTGCAGAGTCTAGGGCCCGAAGCAAACCGATTCCGTCCTCATTGCAATGTGGGAGACGAGACGAGGGGTCCAGTGGTAGGGTGCTGGGGGCGGGCTGGCGTTTTCCACAAGTGCTGAGCTGAGGTTCGAAGCAAAGGTCAGGGCCATGACAGTGCCTGGGTGCCTTGTGCGCAGAGCAGGGCCCAAGCAGAACCTGAGGTCTCCGGGCGGCTGCGCTGCAGGCAGCATTGTCCTCGGGTGTGGGAGGAGATGGTCCTTCTCCCAGACCTGCTGAGCCAACAAACAGCCCTGCAGAATGGTGCAAGGCCGTCTACAGCCAAAGGGCCTCCCTCTCTGCGCCGTCTACCCTTGCGGACACACAGCCAGCCGGGCCCCCAGAACGGCTCTCAGAAGCCCCTCACCTGGGCGTCAGCTGCGTGGCGACGGGGTGCAGAGGCAGCTCCTTCATTCCTGGAACAGGCGTCTCCGGGCCTTGCAGGCGGGCCGAGGAGGGCGCTGCGGGCGCCCCGGGGGCTCTGGACTGGGAGACGGAGGGAGAGGCTGGAGCGGAGAGCCGGGGAGCGGCCGCCACAGCTCCCAGTCCAGGTGGAAGGCCGAGCCGGGGCTGGAGCCCCTTGCAGCGCCCAGGCAGAGCCCCGCGGCCCAGCCGGCTGCAGGGTCCACGCGCAACGCCAGGAGCTCGGGGTCGGCGTCGTCTTCCTCTTCGGAGGCCTCTGCCTGGCCGGCCATCTCCGTGGGGGCTGAGCACACCAATCCCTGCTGCTGCTGCTGCTGCTGCTGCTGTACCACGACGGCCTCGGCCGCGGCGTCCAGGACAGCGGCCAGCGCCAGGCCGCCCGGCGAGGGGCCCTGGCCGGCGGCCTCCAGGAGGCCCTCGGGGACCAGCAGCAGCGTGTGGCCGGGCAGAGACACGCTGAGGACCGCCGTGGGCGCGGGCTCCAGCAGCAGGTCGACGTCGTCCAGCGGCAGCTGCAGGGCGCAGCCGGCGGCCAGGACCACGACCACGACGGAGGGGAGCGCCGAGGCGGGCGGGGCCGCAGGCGGGGCCGGGAGGCCGGGCTGGGGCCCGGGCTCGGCGGCCGCGGGCTCCTGCACTCGGCGGCGCTTGGCAGGGCCGGCTGCTCCGGGCTGCGGGGGCCCCGCGGGCTCAGGGCAGGCGCTGGGGCTGCGGGGCCGGACGCCCCTCATGTCGACGGCGCTGCGGGCTGCGCTCCGGGGGCCTGGCAGAGGGCGCGAGGGGCGACGGGCGCGGGCTTCGCGGGCTTCGCGGGCTTCGCGGGCTTCGCGGGCCTGCGGGCGCTGTCAGGCCCCGGGGTCAGGAGAGGCGGCCTGCGGCGGACGGACGGGTGAGGCGGTCTGCGGAGGACGGGTGAGGTGGCCGCGGACGGACGGGTGGGCTGCAGTCTGGCTTTGGAGGAGCAACGCCCACCTCGGGGTCGGGCCTCGCACCTTGGAACCTTCGGCCTTCCTGCTACCGATCCGGATGTGCAGCAGCGCTCCACCAACCGTGTTGGAAGTCGCAAAATGTCACGCCAAACTCCGCCCCCTGGAGCCTCCGCCCCGCAGCGGAATCATGGGTGCGACCAATATCCGGGGCTCTGATTGGTGGCTCAGTGTGCGGGGAAAGACTTCTACAAGTCTACAGGGTGCGAGCGACTGGGAGAGATTCTTAGACAAGAAATGACAGAGCGCTAATCGAATTCGAAGATGGCTTCTTCACTTTGGAACGAATGCTTTCCTGGGACTTCGAAGATTCTGACGAAACCTCAACTCACAAAGATACACCCCACCCCGCCCCAAAACCAACGCATCCAAATCCCACGAGAAATTCCTGTAATGCACGCAAATCATTTTGTTTCAGGAGTAAATGGGGAAAACAGATTTCTTTTCACAGATGGAAAGTGCTTTTGAAATACTTAAGTGAACCCTTTGTGATATATTTTTCCTGAAGGTCAAGACTGTTACAAAATGATCGACTGATAAAACAATGCAATCAATTAAATAGATATACATATATTTATTGATTTGAAAGGCAGAATGTCAGAGAGAGGTAACGTAGAGAGAGATCTTCTTTCTGCTGGTTCACTCCCCAAATGACCACAGCAACCATGGCAGGGCCAGGAGTCAGGAACTCCTGCTCATAGCTTTCTGCTATGGCCTGGGAAAGCAGTAGAAGATGCCTCAAGTCCTTAGGCCCCTGCACCCACGTGGGAGACCAAGAAGAGGCACCTGGCTCCTAGCCTCAGATCGCCATGGCTCCAGCCATCGTGGCCATGTGGGGAGTGAACCAGTGCAGGAAAGACCTCTCTCTCTCTCTCTCTCTCTCTCTCTCTCTTTCTTTCTCTCTCTGTGTGTGGGTGTGTGTGTGCACCTCTCCCTCTGTGTAACTTTGCTTTTCAAATCAATAAATCTTGCAAAAAGTAAAAAAGGAACTTTAAGAGGCACTTCCACTTCATGGCAAGGCTGTGCTCCTCTAATGGTTGGAGCCCATACAGGAGGATATTATATGTAAGGTAAAGCAGCTCGTTATGGCAAACGAGTAGCCTTAAGCAATGTTAGGATCTCTTCTAAACCCTCTTCCACGGTGACAGGGCTCCAACAAACACGGCGGACATGCCTACAACCCGCCGTGCCTTCTGTAGGAAGTGTGGCACGTGCCAGCCCCACAAGAAGGATGAGGATTTTGTGTGCCCAGGGAAAGCACTGTTGTGACAGGAAACAGAGTAGTTGTGCTGGGTCTATCAAGCAGATTTTCCAGGGAAAAGGTTAAAATCACAGAGATCGTGCTGAGGGTCGAGTGTGGTGGGTCCAGCTGTAGATTTAAGAGTGTCAGAAAACAGGAGAGGATGGCTCAAATCCTTGGGTCCCTGCACCCACGTGGGAGACCCGGAAGTAGCTCCTGGCTTTGGATTGGCACAGCTCTGGCCGTTGTGGCCATTTAGGGAGTGAACCAGCAGAGGGAAGACCTCTCTCTCTCTCTGTCTCTCTCTCTCTCCCTTTCTCTCTCTCTGCCTCTCAGAACTCTGCCTTTCAAATGCATTATTTATTTCTTTAAAGAGACAGAGAGACAGAGAGAGATGCAGGTGGTTTGAACTGGGGGTGATAAGGAGAGAAAGGGCTGAGTGATCCAGCCCTGTGCTTCACCTTCTGCTGTATCATGAAGGCAGTCACATCTCTTTTTGAAAGACTGATTTATCTGTTTATTGGAAAGAGTTACAGAGAGGGAGACATACCCACACGCACACACACACACAAACCGACAGAGAGGGGGACAGAGACAGAGTGAGAGAGACAGAGACCGAGAGTGAGAGAGAGGCAGAGAGAGAGAGATTCACTCACCCAAATGGCCACAGCTGCCAAGGCTAGGCCAGATTGAACCCAGGATCCTGGAACTCCATGCAGGTCTCCCACATAGGTGCAGGGGCCCAAGCACTTGAGCCATCTTCTGTTGCATTCCCAGATGCTTTAGCAGGGCACTGGATTGGAAGTGGAGCAGCTGGGACTTGAACCTGCACTCATATGAGATGCAGGTTTCTCAGGCAGTGGTGTAACCCTCTGTGCCACAATGGCAAGCCTGACAATAAAATCTTACACTCTGTGTTCACTAAATAAATACATCTTAAAGAGGGAATCTGGAGTCAATCACAAAGGTCATTCTGTTAAATCAGTGATTAGCCTGATTTGGGAAAGGAAGAATGGTAAAAATACATAAACCAATGCAAGGAAGACCTTTCTCTCTCTCTCTCTCTCTCTCTCTCTCTCTCTCTCTCTCTCCGTCTATAACTCTACCTGTGAAATAAAACTATAAAAATAAAACATAAATCCATGAACAAATAAAAATCTGGCTCTACCTTTCACTCCGATGAGCTTCAGCACTCGCAAGGCAGCCCATTGGTGGCACCAGATGATAGAAATGCATTAGTGAAATTTCTCCAAGAAACTACTCCTCACGCTATAGACAAAGCGAGCAGGTATATAAAGGGACCCAATTAATTTGAAGTCTTGAGAAATGAAAAACATAGTATGTTACACAAATGCTGCCTAATAAAGGAATTAAGTCGAATTTTGAAAACGGGCCACGATAGCGTCAGTTAATTGGAGGAAAATAGGATGATAAAGGGTATAAAATATCATATGGGTACTGAGAGATGGCGGGGCTTTGATTGAATAGCATCACTTGTTCTCTCAGCAGTTCTGGAGATTGGAGAGGGGTGCAATGTACAAGAGAAACTGACTCTTTTGAAATTGAAATTCGAAAGGCTTAGTTCTCGAGAGGTGAAAGGTCACCGGTTGCAGCAGACAGCTTTTCTAACACTGAATACAGCCGACTAAACTGTAGAACATCAAAGTCAAGAAAGCCAACAGCCTCATCTCATACAAGGAAAAGACAGCAGCAGCGGCAGATTTCGAGCATGCACTACTAGCATGGCAGGGAAAGGAGTACAGGACTATCTTTAAAGGAGTGAGAGAGTGCAGGCAGCATTTTAGAACTTCAAACCCACCTAAAACCTAACACATACTAGCTTGAAGGTGTCATTGAAATATGTGCAGATACACAAAACTAAGATTTGCCACACAGGCCATAGCTGAAAGGATTCTTAGAAAGCGCACCTCGGTAGGACAACAGATACAGAGGAAATGAAGCCACAAAATGCAAGTACAGAAAATGGGCAAAGAAACTGATAATACAATGAATGGTCAGAAAAAATAACATCTTGCTTACCAGTAATAATTTATTTTTCATGAAACAGAATACAAACTTGGCCAAAGAAGGGACATGACAAATTAGCAATGCTGTGTAAAACATTAGCCCAACCCGCAAACACACATGAAAACCCCCAAACAATCAAGACTAGAAGTAGAATCCTTCCTCGAAAACGGAATCGCGGAAATGTGAAGATACTCAGTGGCGAGAAGTGTAAACAGTCCAAATTGCCACAGGAATCGATTCAAAACCAAACCACAGTCACATTGGTGCAACGAGAAACCCATTTCTTAATAGTGACAATCTGAAGGTGATGCTACAGTCATGTCATCCCTGAAGCTCATTTCCCTCGAAATCCCTGAAGCTCCACACTGGTTTGGTTTCCTCTTGGGCCAGGGTTCCACACACAGAAATGGCCCCAAGGCTCCACACACCTATTTGATATACATTCACAATTAAATGCCAGCCTTGAAATAATCTGACAAGTCAGTGTAGTCACATAGCTGGGAAAAACAAAATGAGCACAGAACCAACCTTTTTGCTCGGGCATAAACTAATTTCTTCGGTAGGACAAGGGTTGTTGACAATCACGTCCAGGAAAGATCACACTCCATGGTGAAATTCCAAAGCATTAACATGAGGCATAAGACAGGAATATTGCTATCAATTATACAGTTCAACCTGGATTTCAAAGAAAACCAGTATAAAAAAACTAAGAAAGAGAAGAATCTACCAATGAAACACTACAGAAATCCAATAATTCTCTCCCCGATGTCAGATCAATAGAAGAAACAAATTATTTCTATACAGTAGCAACAATGTACAACATATACTCAGGATCCTAGAACAACACAAAAGAGACTTAGAATTGGGAACTTTGAACATGCATGGGGCATTATCTTACAAATAGACAGGAAGCAATGAATGGGAAAGAGTTGGTCTTTGGGGGGAGGGGGTGCACAACCCTAACTCCCAAACCTAACTACTTGCTAACCAAGTCATGAACCAAATGGGGGGTACGTGGTCACGGTGCCCAGTGCTTTGTTTGGTCCACGTCCAACTGTTTTCCAGACCCCCCGAAAGGGACTAGGGCCAGCCTCAGGAAGAGTCCGCGGTCAGACGTTTGCCAAGAGCTTGCAGAGTCTAGGGCCCGAAGCAAACCGATTCCGTCCTCATTGCAATGTGGGAGACGAGACGAGGGGTCCAGTGGTAGGGTGCTGGGGGCGGGCTGGCAAAGTTTTCCACAAGTGCTGAGCTGAGGTTCGAAGCAAAGGTCAGGGCCATGACAGTGCCTGGGTGCCTTGTGCGCAGAGCAGGGCCCAAGCAGAACCTGAGGTCTCCGGGCGGCTGCGCTGCAGGCAGCATTGTCCTCGGGTGTGGGAGGAGATGGTCCTTCTCCCAGACCTGCTGAGCCAACAAACAGCCCTGCAGAATGGTGCAAGGCCGTCTACAGCCAAAGGGCCTCCCTCTCTGCGCCGTCTACCCTTGCGGACACACAGCCAGCCGGGCCCCCAGAACGGCTCTCAGAAGCCCCTCACCTGGGCGTCAGCTGCGTGGCGACGGGGTGCAGAGGCAGCTCCTTCATTCCTGGAACAGGCGTCTCCGGGCCTTGCAGGCGGGCCGACCTTGAGGGGCTGCGGGCGCCCCGGGGGCTATGGACTGGGACCCCTATGTTCATGTCTGGAGCGGAGAGCCGCCGAGCGGCCGCCACAGCTCCCA